TCAGGACGGGCCAGCTTCGGGCTGTTTCCCAGCGCACCGCCCAGGGCCTGGCGTCTGTTCCTACACTGGCTGCCTGTGCGTGAGTCCCCCATTGCGCACGCACCTTCGCGGGCCGGGCCGCTCCTCTGGGCACTGTGGCTAAGATTCTGTGCCGACTCCCGGAGCCGGTCCCCTGGGGCGTCCAGACGCGATTCTGTCGGGCCTCCGGCTGCCTCCAGCTCAGGCGGGACTAGCGCGGCGCCGGTGTCCCCCACGCTGGGCCCGCTGCGATCACCAGCATCCACACAGCTGTAGGGGGCCTGCGGGGCCTCCGTGTTCAGCGTTCAGCCCTCTGCGGGGGCCCCGGCGGGCAGGTGGGGCGCGTGCGCGTGTGTGCGCTGCGGTCCGTGCCCTGAGCTCTTCGGACTCAGAAGACACCCGGAGGTCCCACAGAGGGTGGGGGGAGCGGCGGCGAAGCGGCGCAGACACGGTTCGGTCTGGATGCCCGCCGGCTGCAAACGGCTCTGCTCTTTCCTGCCCCGCCCGCCGCGCCCCGTTTCCCGCCCGGCTGAGGGCAGGGAGCTGGCGATCCGCGGGCTCCGGACGGGGCTGCTGTCGGGGTGACCGCGCCATGGCGCGCAGTGGCAGGGGCACCATGGACCCAGCCAGCCTTGCCTTTGCAAGGAGCTATGCCCTCCGGAGGAGAGTCCCGGTGCACCCGCGGCACGCAGCTGTCAGGAAGGGGAGCCCCCGCCCCTTCTTCCAAGCGCCCTTGGCACCTTCCCCCGTAGCCCAGTGGGCCGGGGTTGCCCCCAGCGAGGCCCAGCCGTTAACTGACCAAGGGCCTGGTGGAAAGCCCGGGCAGTTCTCCTAACAGCAGGCAGCTGGGGCAGAGTTGGCCGGGGAAACAGCCGAAGTCCAACACGTGCTGGGGGACTCGCCCCGCGGGGACGCACGGGGAGGCCGGGCGAACGACGCTGCAGGCTCCGGAAGACTCGCTCTTTCTGCCGACTTTGCTCCTGGGGGCGGGACGCCGCGGCAGCGCTCGGCGCAGGCGCGTGTGCGGGGGGCCGCGGGCTGTGCTGCTCACCGTGCCCCCCGGGCTTAGCGAGAGCCCGGGCTTCCCAGGGCCCCTCCGCAGGCTGGGGGGCGGCAGGGTGGTGCCGGGGCCGCGCGTCGGGAACGCGGGGGGCTGGCCGACCGTGTGCTCCGCGAGGGGGAAGCGATGATCTCGCCATCACACGCCAGCTCCCCGGGCTGAGATCTGGGCCCGGGCCCCTCCCCGCCGGTCCCTGCCAGGCTGGCAAAGTCCCCTTGGCAGGGCGCCGCCTGCCCCTGCCAGGCTCATAAGAAAGCCCCAGCTGGGTCGGGGCACCTGCCCCGCAGGTCATTCTCGAACTTGCTAGAGGAAATCTGCTGGGGGCTGACGAAATGCGGAGTCCCAGGCTCCGGCCCTCTTCAGTCTGGGAGGCCCTGGAACGTGCATTTTCCACGGCCTCCTTCATGACCCCTCCTCGGGGAGGGGCTCTCGGGGAACGGGGCCGCAGCCCGGAGAACCTCTGCTGCTGTCGCCCGGGTGGGGGAGCTGCCAGGCGGAGAGAGAGGCCCGGGTGAGGGGCGGGCCTGCGGCAAGGCCAGGCCGGGTCTGGGGGGCACCCTGGTCGTACACGGAGGGCAGCTGTGTGCCAAGCAGGGGCCCGCCGGATCTCTGCCCACACCGGGCGTCACCTCTGCAGCTCCTCCCCTTTCGGTGGGACGAACTTGATTCCACCCTGGGAGGCTGTGCGCCCTCCGCGTTCTCCCACGTCCAACTCCGGGTTGGGGCCTCCCCGCTCCGTCCCTACCTGTCTGGTCCAGCCTCCCTTGAAGCCCCCTCCCGCTCCTTCCTTCTGCCTCCTCGGGCGGCCCGGTGAGGTGGCAGGCTCCTGTCACCGGCCCGGCAGGCGTCCACATAAACGAGTCGCTGCTGACCCCTGGTGTCAGAAATGTCCACCTGCAGCGATTTCTAGAGCCAGACTGTCCGGGGCCGCGGATGGCAATGACCCGCGCGGGTGCTCCGCCGTTTAGGAGGAGATGGGGGTGGACAGTGGCCCTGAGGGTGGACCGTGTGCTCTGGGTGCTGAGAAGCTGCGACAGCATCACCTGGTCAGAGCTGGCTCCAGGGAGACGCACAGCGAGGAGGGACGGCTGGCAAAGGGCCAGTGGGACAGCGGGGTGCAGGCAGGAGCCCTGGGGTGGACGGGCAGGGCTGGCTTCGGGCAGGGCCAGTCAGCAGTGGGGCCTAGGTTGGGGAGGGCCTCGCTATTTGGCTGCTGGCCCTCTCACTCCTTGGTGACCCTCCCCAGCGCCAGGCCGTGGGTGGCCCGAGCACCTGGGAGGCAGTGGTCGCTGTGGGCGAGGCTGGTGGCAGAGGGACAAAGGGGCAGGAAGATGGAGCCAGGAGATCCTGTGAGCACGTCACCGGGGAGATGACCAGGCGACGAGGTGGAGAGTTAAGAAGGTCCCTGAGCGGAGGGCCACATGACAGGAGGGGCAGCCCCTCCCTGGGCAGGCTGAGCTGGGTGCTGCAGGGCATGGTGGGTGACCAGTGTCCGTGGGCCGCTTCTGGGCGGTGGGAAGCCCTGAAGGCCTGAAGCAGGCATGAGGCCATGTGGCACCCAACCACCCCCAGCGGCGGCTCTGGAGAACAGTGGCAAGTCCACTGCACCGGGCGTGGCCAGGTCTGGGAGGAGCAGCAGCCCCTCCGAGTGGCAGAGCCGATCAGTCTCAGTGATGGGTTTGCAGGTGGCAGTTCAGAGCCAGTCCAAAGCCGCAGACCTGGGGCCAGGTGGCGGCTGGCAGGCAGCGAGGCGGGGTCATCGAAATCAGGAGTTGCTTGACAGTGAGGTGTGCGAAGAGGACGGCAGCCCTGTCGCTGCTTGAGGGGCAAAGGGTTGATGGTGCTGTCTGCACTGGTGTGGGGAGAAGACGCAGGGACAGGAGGTGCAGCTGCGTGGGGGTCTGGGAGCATGGTTTCCTGGAGAGGGGGAGCTCCCTTAGAGCTGCGGCTGGGACAGCTGGGCAGGCAGGCAGCAGGTTCTCGGGGTAGTGGGTGGCCTGAGAAGTAGGCAGGGCCCCTGCGGGTGTCTGCAGGGTGTGGAAAACCCGGGTTTGCAGGGGGAGAGCCCTCTCTGATGGGAGGGGTAGGACACGCACCCCCCCCCCGGGAGCGCCCCCAGTCCCCTCCTCAGGCTCTGCTGCAGGCCTCAGTGAGGCATAGCTGCTCAGGAGGCTCCAAGCCAAGCCCCGGGGGGCCTCCCCGGGCTTGGCAGGGGGCAGTGGTTCAGGTGGGGAGCGGTAGTCACGGGTCAGCTCTGATTCCTGAGCTGCCCTCTCAGAAGAGGCGATGGGAGCAGAGCACACCCCCACCCCACATTTACAGGCTCCGTGCAGCCCCTGTTCCCACAGCCATTTGTGAGGGGGTGGGTGTGGCTTTCAAGGCCCGACAGGTGCTCGCTGCCTGCCCATCTGTTGAGTCTCTGTTGTGCTTTTCCCCTTTGAGCATCTATTACTGATTAGAAGCCGGGAACCTGATGCTTCCCAGCACCTTTCTTAGAAATTTCTTTTTAAATTTATTTATATACAGTAAAATTCACTCTGTGCTAGGTGTAACTTTTTATGACCAGCATGTGTGGCCATCAGAATAACGTCTGCCTTCATTCAGTGGTCTCAGAGGCTGGGACTCTACCTCCCCATTCAAATTCATGCAGAACAAGGCAAAGGAGGGGCAGAGTGTGCGTCTGTTACCCAACCCAGGAGGCAGAGGCCAAGATGCTCTTCAGGATCAGGGGTGGGTACAAGGTAGCCTCCCCTGGAGCCTTCCCCTGATGCTGGAGCTGCCCCCCAGCAGTGGAATTCCTGACCATCCAGTGGCCCTGCCTGGTCAAGCCCTGGTACACAGGGCCAGCTCAGGGCAAGCAGGATGGGGCAGGCATTGGATGGGCAACGATGGGTGGGCCATGGCTGCAGACTGTTTCTGCCCGGCTGCTGCTCCTTAGCCTGCCACCCCAAGAGGGCTGTGTGGGAGGGAAACTTGCCTTGAGTGGGGTCAGTGAGTCTGGACGGGTGGCAGAAAACACCTCTGTCATTTTGAAGCAGAGAAAGGTCAAAGATCAGAGTTCACTTTTATCCACCATAGACTGCTAGGTAAGGTTGTGTTTGGAAAGAACATCTGCTACTTCAAGCGAAGTTGGAAAAGGACTGATGTGTGCATGTTTCAGCAGGAGCACCAGCAGAAGGGTGCTGCAGCCACCCATCTGCCAAGAGGCAAGACCACAGCTGGACTTCTCTTGCTGGGGTTGACCAAGCATCGCCCTGGTCTGGCTGGGGCAAATGCAGCCCCCACAGTGCCAGCAAGGCAGGCTGAGTTTGGGGTAACCTCATCCCTCAAACTTACTGCAGCTGTGCTACCCCCAGTTCAGGGTCTGGCTTCCCTGGTCCCAGGGATTGCTGTGGGCTGTGTTGTCCTACCACTGTCCACCTTCCCTGATGCCATCAGCTGCCCATTCTCTCTCCTCCCCATACCCATCTTGGCAAGCACAGGGCTGGGCTTCATCCTCCCCAGGACTTTCCCATGCCTGGAATCCTCAATGGTCTGTGACCAGGCAGGGGGCAGCCAGCCTCCAGGACTGAGCAGGGTGGGAAGGCTTAGGATTAAGCCCTTCCCTATGGGGGCCAAAAGAGGTTCTGGTAAGATCCTGGAGGAAGCAGTGGGTCAGGAAGGGCAGTGCCTGCTCCCCATGCCCAAGTGGGTCCAGAGCAGCTGGCAGGGCGTGGTTACCAGGGCATGCTGTGCATCAGACTGACCTGTGGCCACTAATGGTGAGTCTGGCAGGTGGCCTGGTCACTAGGGACTGCAGTGGCCTGTGCGTACGGTGGAGGTGCGTCTCTGGGTGCTGGGTGTGCAGCGTGCCCAAGTTCCCGCCCCGTGCACCCCCACCTAGTGGGGGCCCTCTGCTCAGAAAACCAGGCTGCTCCACTACTGCGCTCATCAAACTGAACTTCTTTATTAAGTGCCGAGGGTCCAAGCGGGCGCCGCGCCTGCTTGGTGCGGTTCCCAGCAGCCGGTCTCTGCTGGGAGCGGCGGGGTGTGAAGCAGCCGGTCGGTCTGTAGTGTGGCGGCGCTCACTTCACGTGCTCGGCCGCGTGCGAGGAACAGTAATACTTCTTGTGGGCGATGAAGGTGGACAGGCTGCTGAACTTGATGTTGCACAGGCGGCAGTGCCTGTGGCTGCCTTGGGGCGCCGCGGCCAGCGCGCCCTTGTCCGGGTGGGAAGGGGGCGGTGGCGCGGCCTCGGGCGACGGGCTGCCGTGGTCTGCGCCGGGGGGCGGCTCCTGGCCATTGAGGCCGTCGCGCGGGGCGGCCGGCGAGGGCGTCCGGGCGTCCGGCGGAGGCTTTCCCAGCAGCAGGCCATGCGCCAGGCGGAAGTGCTCGACCAGGTCGCCGCGGACCAGGCCGTTCGGGGGGCAGTAGGGGCACGCGACGGCGGGCGCGTCCTCGGGGGCGGGGCACAGGTGGCGCGGGGCGGCGGGGCACGAGAACTTCTTGTGCGCCAGGTAGGCCTCGAGGCTGTGGAAGCTCACGCGGCAGGCCGTGCACTCGTGGTAGTCGGCCAGGGCCGGCAAGGGCGCGGGGCCGGGCACCTGGCGCCGCGGCTTTTTACTCAAGTCGATGGGGCCGTCGGCGGCGTCGGGGCCGCTTCCGCTTCCGGGTCGCGGAGACGCTGACGCGGGGGGCACGGGGGCGGGTCCGGCCGCGGACGGGGCGGGGCCTGGCGCCGGGGGCGGGTTGGGCCCGGCCGCGGGCAGCTCGTAGAGCTTGCGGCGCCTGCGCGTGCGGACGGGTGGCGCGGCGGGCGCGGGCGTCCCGGGGGTCCCGGCGGGCGCGGGCCGGCGCGGCGGCGGGTCGTGGCGCGAGGCGCAGTAGTAGCGCTTGTGCACCGTGTAGGTCTCGTGGCGGCTGAAGCGGATGTTGCAGGCCTCGCACAGCGTCCGGCGGGGGTCCTCGTCCTCATCCGCCCCGCTGCTCGGGCTCGGGCTGTCCTCGCTGCCCCGGCCGCCCGGCTCGGCCTCCGGCGTGGTCGCGTCCCCCGCCCCGCGCCCCGCCTCGTCCTCGCTCGCCCCGGGCCCTGGCGACGAGCGCGCGTCGGCCTCTTTGGGCGGCGGCGCGGGGGGCGCGCGCGGTGGGGCGGGGGGCGCCTTGGGCCTGCGCGCGGGGGGCGCGTCGTCGGGCGGCCGGCGGCCGGAGCAGTAGAGGCGCTTGTGCACGTAGAAGTTGTTGACGTTGTTGAAGGTGATGTCGCACTCGAAGCACGTGGCACCCGTGGGGGCGCCCGCGAAGAGGCCGGCCGGCTCCCCCGCGCTCGTCTGCAGCCGGCCGTGCACCAGCTCGCACATCTTGGCCAGGATCTCCGAGGCCGGGGGCGCGGCGGGGAGCTGCGGCAGGAAGAGAGCGCCCTGCTCGGCCGTTCCAGGGCTCCCAGGAGAGGGGCTGGACGGCTCCGTCTTCACCCGGGCGGGGCCAGGGCTGCGCGGCGACGGCGTCCGCGACCGGGCTACGGGCCCGGGCTCCTCCGCAGGCTCTGCCTTGATGCTCCTGGGGGCCGCGGACGGCTCGCTGCCGCCGCCGTTCTGGGGGGCCGTTCTGGTCTCTCCGTTGGTGGTCTCTGCCTGGGCCTTCCTGTCCAATCCTGGTGATGGGTTGGGTGCCAGGGCCGTGTCGGCGGAGGCCAGGGCGGTGTGCTGCTGGAAGCTGGCCAGACTGTCTGCAGGGAGACCCCAGGGGCCACACTTAGGGGCTGGAGCAGGACCTGCCTGGGGCCAGACCTGGGGTAAGAGGGGGTGCGAACGGGGAGCTGGGCTGGGCAGAGGAGGTAGAGAGCCAGGGCGGAATTCAGCCCTGCTGCCGGGTGGTCAGGCCCCCTCGCTCCCCAGTCCTCAGGGGCTCACCTGGGGGGAGCTTGGCAGCTGGGTGCCCGGTCCCTGGTGAGTAGATGTCAGCCTTGGAGCCTGGCTGGCAGACCATGTGGCGGGTCACCAGGTGGCTGTAGAGAATGTCCCTCGTGGTGGAGATGAAGCCACAGCTGTGGCAGACACCTGTGGGCCAGCTGTGTTATCAGGGCTGCGGGGTAGCCCTGCAGACCCACCCCTTGTGCCGCCCACTTCCCTGCCCCCACCTACCACTCAGAGTGTCCGTGTGGACCTTGAGGTGCCGCTCACAGTTGGCCTTGGTGGTGAAAGCCGACAGGCAGATCAAACACATGAAGGGGCGTTCTCCTGGGACACAGGGCTGAGTGAGGGGTCTGCTCTGGGAGCCCAGCCGGCCGTCCAGATGGCTAAGGTGGGCCACGGGCTCTGGGAGCCCGTGCGCTGTGGCAGGCTGACCGTGTAGGCACACTGGGGCACTGTGCGCAACCCGGGGCTGGGTGCGCCAGTGGGGACACACGCTATTACGGAGGGTGATGGGGGTCCTGGGGCCTCACCGCTGTGGCTGCGCATGTGGATCTCCAGGGAGCTGGCGCTGGGACAGCTTTTGCGGCACTGGGGGAAGGGGCAGACGCGCTCGTTGGGGTAGGTTTCTTTGGGCTTCTCGTCGGCAGCCACTGCGGCAGGAGAGCCGGCACTCTGCCGGCTGGCACAGTAGTAGAGGAGGTGGGCTTGCAGGTTCCGCTCGCTCCGGTACCAGATCCCGCAGTCCTTGCAGGGGAAGACGTCTTCTGTGGGTTGAGAGGCGGGCGCAGCCTGAGTGGGGCGTCCCAGCATTAGAGGGGGGAGGCATCCTGCAGTCCAGGCAAGCCCCGGTCCCCTCGGAAACATGAGCTTGTGCCCTGGCTGCCCCGCTGGCCTCCACCTTGAGGAGTGAGGAGGCTGGGGCCTTTGCCCTGTCACTACCCCCCTTTCATTTGGCCCTTTAAACTCCTGGGTCTCTAGGATTCATGGACCACACGGGTGGGGCCCTGGCAACCTCACAGGGCAGCCCCCATGCTGCCTTCCGACAGGGAGCCCTGCAAGATGCTGGGGCCCCAGGGGTGTCCCCCGGAGTGTGGGCAGGGGCACAGTGGGTGTCTGTGATGTGGCTGTGTGTGTGACTAAGCAGGGGTGAGGCATGGCATGGGACTATGTGCCTAGTGCCCGGGGTAAGCGTGGCCGTGCCCAGCCTCGGGCAGGCGGGGCAGGAGCTCGGAGGTAGAGCTTCCCTGACCGCATGGTGGGGTTTGCTGAATTGACCGAATTCACCCCCCACGGGCTGCCGCTACCTTTTCAGCTCATAGGAATTTGGGTTGCAGTAGTGGTTCTGCCAGCTGATGAGGGTCTGTGTAATGGGTGCTTTGCCAGTTCTCTGTGTCTTTATAGCGAAATGTTAAGGAACGGTCTGTTCTTCTCTGCTGCTGCTCTGCGCCTGGAGCTTTAGGTGGAACCGGGGGGCCTGGACTCCTGAGCTGGGCTTTGGGCATCTCATTCAGGGACTAGAGTGCCCCCTGGTTTCCATGACTGCAGGTGGGACATGTTCCACCCGGCGGCTCCTCTGAGGCTGGTCCCGGGTCTGTGGTTCTTCTTCACCCCAGGAGCCTCCAGGTTGCCACCTTTGCCTCCCAAGGAGCTGAGGCACCTGTCTGGTGAGGTGGCCACACTCCATGCCATTGCACCTGCAGCTTTCCTGGCTCTAATCCCTTTCTGTGTTTACATATGTTTCCCAAGTTCCGTTCCTCAGGGGCCTCAGGGCAGCTCTGCACCCGCCGGGCATACTGGTGGGTCTGCTTTTCTGACTGCACGGTCAGCACTGGATGGCCACTGGAGCCTCGGCCACAGCCCTGAAGCTTAGTGAGGATGGTCATGGTCCTGCCACTTTGGGCTGACCAAAGGCCAAGTCCTGGGTGGGTGCAGCCCAGGTGACCTGCATAAATGCCCGGTATTACCATTGCCCCCATCTCACAGTTGGGAAACACCGAGGCCCAGGGTGGAGAAGTCTCAAGAATTAAGCCGGTATGACTGACGCGCTCCAGTTCTTAAGGCCCTTCCAGTGCACCCAGGCCGCAGGCCCTGGATGTGTGAACAAGACATCCACCAACCGTGGCAGTGCTCTGGGGACAGGGCAGCTTGGGCGAGGCACTGAGGTGGAAGCGTAGGACGAAGGGGAGGAAAGCCTCCCAGCACCTGGGTGTGCCTGCAGCCTCTGCTGGAGCAGCCCAGACAGGAGGTGGGAGGCGGACCCCGCAGGCTGGGTCCCCAGGACTCGACCATAGCCCAGGCGCCACTCCCCAGGGCGAGTCTCTGGCTCCCTGCAGATGCACCTCCCTGCCCTGCGTCTCTGAAGGGCTTTCCCAGGCTCCTTTCTCCCGACACCTCCATGTGCAGGCAGGACCCCATTAGTTCACTGCTGCCCTCTTCCCCCTGGCAGCACTGGTGTTCTGCAGGGCAGTGGCCCAGCCCCTCCCCGTGGGCACCAGGGGTGGACCTCATATCTGTGGCTTGTCCCCTGCCTCCCACTGTCATCTCTCCCCGGGTCATTTCCACCCCCGCAGAAGTACGCCAGCCTCAGCTGGGTCCCAGCACCGCACGCCTGTCTGACGGGCTTGCTTCTCACTCCCGGCTCGCTCAGCACAACCACTGTGGTCAGGGTCATGGTGACCTCCATGCTGCCCAGTCCAGTGGGCATTCCTCTGCCCTCAGACCAGCCACAACCAGGACACAGTGGACCCCCACCACCCTGGGCTCTTCCCACCCCCTGACTCGAGCATCTGCAGGTCCCCTCTCTCCCTGGGGGCCTGTGTGGCCCCAACACGTGCCCCCAGCCTCTGAGGTCCCACTTTAGTGTCTGACAGGCATCTCGGGGCCAGCATGCTCGTGGCGGGCTCTTCCTACCTGCCTGGGGTGGATGTCCACCCAGATGGCATGTCGAAGCCCCACCTCTGTCTCCACCTCTGTCAAGCCGTCATCACGTTGAACTTGTTCCAAAAGCTCACTTTTCTGCCAGTTTTCCAACCTTACTGTTACCACCTAGCAGCCAGGGTGATTTTAAAACAATGGGACCACATCCAGGCTCTTCCTGGCACCACTGGGGGAGATCTGCCCCCTGTGGGCTTCCTGCAGCCTCACCCCGCAGCCATCGGTGCTTCCTGGAGAGCATGTCATCCTGTGTGAGTGGCTTTCCTGAGCACCCCCGTTGACGTAGGCCCTGCCACCATCTGCCCATGTCACCACGTCCTTGGTGGGGTGTACCCATGCCCAAGGCTGCGGCCACCCGGCCAGAAGATCACCTGTGCCTCTGAGTGGTGGGCCCCACTTTGGCGACCTCGGTGCCCGGACTGACCGACTGGCTCAGTGTGGTGTCAGCAGAGTATCTGCCGGGCAGGTGAACCCTGTCGCAGGCTCAGAGGGGTCTTGAGGCTGAGTGCTGAGGTGGGAAGTGGGTGGCAGAAAACCTTTCTACTCCAGGTGTCTCACCAGGGTGATGCCTTTGCCCCCGGGGGATGCCCGGCCTGTCTAGAGATGTTTAGGCAGTCACAGCCAGGAGGTGGGGGTGGCACTGGTGTCTGGTGGGCAGGGGCCAGGCTGCCACTCAACATTCCCTGCGGGGCGCCTGTTGGAAATGCGAGGCTGAGAAACGTGCTCCGCCCACCCTACTGTCCCTGGGAGGACTTGGGGTCAGGCTGTGCCTGCCTCCTGGGCCTCCCCCATGTGTGCTCGAGCCAGGCACACATGGTCACCCTGTCCCCGGTGGCCCCCTCCAGGCTGCCCGTTGGCATTCACAGGCCCACACTGCCCTTGCTCATGTACTGGCTGCAGCTGGCAACCCTCTGCCCCTCTTCCCCCCGCTCCTACAACCCCACTTTTGAGTCCCACGGTGCACCTCTCCTCTGCTTGGATCCCAGTGGTAACAGGCCTTTGTGGGCCTTGAGCTCTGGGCCCCCCGTGCAGTCCCGTGGGGTTGCACTGGCACTGCCCCGGGCTGGGTGGTGGGGCACTCACTGTTGATGACCGCTGTGGCCAGGATGGACGCCATGCCAGCCTGCTGGGGCAGAAGCTGGATGTCGCTGTGGGCGGGGGCTGGGTGCGTGGACTCCGAGGACTCCTTTGCGGGGTGGCGGGGGGCATTGTGGGGCTCAGCCACGAGGAGCGTGCTCAGCAGTCCACCTGCGGGCACCGGCTTGGTGAGCCTGCACCAGAGGGCTTCATCTGCAGGGGTGAGGTACCTGTGACGGCAGGGCCAGCAGCCCGGCTCACCACCACCACCACCCTGGGAAGACCACCATCTCATCCCTCTGACCCCTCAGGGCCGCCCCACCTGGATAAAGGTTTTGAAGCCGGCAGTGGGGGATGGGGCCAAGGGCAGGGAGTGGCCGGCCCCGGGTCACAGCTGCTGCTTCCGGCTTCCTCAGCAGCCATCCTGCCTCCATGGGGCAACTGGGTGGTTCCCAGACCTCCCTGCCCTGTGCCCAAGCAGGAGGGCCTCAAGGGCAGCCCACACTGCTGCCCATTTCCCAGAGAGGGTGGCGCGTGGGACGCTCTCAGGGCGCTTGGGGAGCTGTAGCCAACCCCATCCAAGCCCCCCAACTCTGCGGGGTGTGGCTGTTCCTGCTGTGGCCTGCAGGGGGCAGCCTTGGTCAACAGGAGGCCCTGGACCACCTCCAAGGCCCCATGCAGAGGCTGCCATGCTAATGTCGGTGCCCCAAGGACCCTCGCCTGCCTGCGCAGACTCAGCTGGCTGGAGCCCTGCTGCCCAGGCCAGCGGGAAGGGGGGCCGGGCAGCGCCAGCCAGCCCCTGCCCTTGCTGGGTGTGCAGATCCATGGCTGGCCGCTCACTGCCATGCCAGGCATGCTGGTCCCTCTGGCTGCGCTCCGTGTCCCTAGAGCATCCCTTGGTGGGAAGGAGGAGCTCCCCCACGGAAGGGGAACCTGAGGCACACAGGTGCTGTGCTGACCCAGGTCATGCAGTGGATGGCAGGGCAGGATGGAAAGCCCAGGTCCCTAGATGCTGAGCTCAGGGTACCCTCTGCACCCACCCTGGGATCCCGAGGCCCCCAGTGACCTTTGACTCTCTCCTGAAATGAGAGCCACTGTCAGGCTCCACCTCCATCAGGGGCGTTGAGCCATATGTGCTCAGGAGAGGATGTGAGGATGGTACCCCCAGAATGTTCTAGCAAAATAGAGCCCCTTGCAGGGGAATGAGGTGGATTTCCTGTCACCAGTGGGCACAGCCCTCTCTCCTGGGTAGCTATGCTGTGGTGGGTGGCCCTCACTTGGCTGTAGAAGTTGCCACGTGGCTATCACCACATCCACCCCTTGGACCGGAGCCTCCTTGTCTATAATGGGGTGAGGACCTCTTTCCTGCTCTCTGGCCCTCTCAGGGCCTCCCCGCAGGGCCCCTTCTAGGATGTACAGGGAGACAGAGGAGGCAGGGGCTGCTTTGAGTGAGCACCGGGGCCTGGCCAAGCTCTTGCCCAGGCCTCCCAAAGAAACGGGGCCCCAGAAGATGAGGGACATGGCCCAGGCCCCACAGCTAGGAAGCTGGCCCTCCTGATTGTTTCTGCAGCAAGCCCCCCGGTGCAGGGCCCCGGGTCCCTCTGCCAGCCCTGGTGGCACCAGGGAGAAGTCCTTGCCTGGGCCCAGGAAGAGCAGCCATGCCGGCTTTCTGAGACCAGCTGCCTCATCCCCCAGCTGACTGTTGGGCCCCAGCTGGGCTTTAATGAGGGTGCAGGGGTGTGGCTGCCGGGTTCCCTGGCCCCTCGGCCCAGCCCACTGGTTTCCCTTAAAGGGCAGCCCAGGGACAGCCAGTGACCCCCGCCTCCTGGAAGCTCCATGACACCAACCCTTCCTGTAGATCTCCGCGCTGGCTTCAGCCTCTGTCAGGGCCTGGGGCAGCGTCCTCAGCCAGCAGGCCTCGTCCTCCAGCAGCAGGGCCAGTGCCTGGCTCAGGGGGGCAGGAAGGGAGTGGGGTCAGCAAGGACACGGTGGTGCCTTCAGACAGCAGGGAAGAGCACCGGGGATCCCCAGGGAGCACATGCAGGGGCGCCTGAGGGCCCACCCAGAAGGTGGCCAGACGCAGCAGGGAGTCCCCACCTTCCATGGTCAGACAAGGGGTTCCCTTGGAAACGAGATGCCCAGAGGGGTCAAGCAATTTGCTCAAGGTCACACAGCCGGCAAGCAGCGGAGTGGGGATTTGCACCCAGTTCATTTTTGCCTCCCCTTCCCCTCCGGGCTCTCTGGCACAATCCATGGGGAGCAAAGGGCTGGGCTGGCGCAGGCTTCTCCCACACAGGCCCCCAGAGGCCTCCGAACTGAGCTGTGGTGGAGGCCAAGATGGGCTGGGAGGGGGTGGTGTCTCCCCAGAAGGGACCTCCACATCCTCCCCCCTGGTGGGGCTCCTCCCCTGCTGCAGGGCCCAGCAGCTGAGCCCCTGTGGGCATGTGGGGTCAGGCCCTGTCCAGCTGGCTTGCTGCCACCCATCTCGTAGGGGAGGACACCAAGGCACGGGGGTGGGAGGGGTGGCTCGCACCAGCACCACCCCACCCAGCCATGCTCTGTCCCCAGCACCGTCTGGAGCTGCCCCTGGCGCACCCAGGAAGAAGGAGTCCTTTGGGCTCAGCCCGCAGAGGGGCTGGCAGCTTGGGGCCAGGTGGGCAGGGCTGCCTGCAGACCCCCTCAGTGACCTGGGATCCCTGGCCAGACACACAGACCTGTGTGGGCTGCAGGGTGGGGTTAGAACCGCGGCCCTGCTGTGCCCTGGGGGTCTGGGGTGATGGCTACGCCCCAGCTCTGGGCTGGTTCCTCTGCCTGGAAGGGCACAGTGCACATCCCACGTGGGCACTTTTCTGTTTTGCTCAACTTAATGCCTTTTGCTCAGAAATTTGTGCAGCTGGACTATTAGCTGAAGAACCAGTGTCACTTGCTGGAAATGCTGTCACTTGGGTGGCAGTGGCTTTGTGGACCCCTGGGGCATAAGTGGCAGTGGACCAGGGTGGGACAGCCAGGGCAGATGATGGCATGTGGGGCGTCCTCTGATGGGTTCCAGGCACCCCCAACCAGGTCTGAGCCCATGGCACTTTTCAGGGTTTTACTTGCTGCCCAGGATGCACATAGAGCTGGGCCTCCCCGACTCTGACCACCTCTACCCTCTCATCCCCATCCTGGGACAGACTCGGGGACCCAGCAAGGTCAGGGCACCCTGGCCAACAGAGCAGCCGCGTGGCCTGTGGGTCAGGAGAGCCCAGCCCTGAGGTAGGATATGCCATCCTTACACCATGCCTGCCTCCCCTGCTCCTGGGCATCTCTGCAAGTGGGTGATGCCCTTTTGGAGGTGCGGCCGGGACCCAGGTGTTCATCCTACTACCTGCACGCAGGGCGGGTCACACCCATCTCCCTGCAACTCAGTCCACTCCCCAGGGACCCGGAAGAAGACCCCCCACCTTGCTTTTCCCATCCCCTTGGCCGGCCTGACACAGCAGGCGGGGGCCCTGTGCCTGGGCCCCGGAGGCTGGTGTTGCTGGGGCACCAAGCCAATAGCTGACCTGTGTCACCCTGTGGCAGGCATCTCTGCCAAGGACCCTGCTTGTAACAGATGCCCAGCGATTCTGACGGGGTCTCTGCTGGCTCAGAGGTTTCTGTCCAGGCTGCAGCTGGAGACAGGTTGGGGGCAAAGAGGCACTGGTGGGGTGGCTCGGTGGCAGGTGGCTGGTGACTGCTGTGTCCCAGACACAGGTGACCTGGGCCAGCAGCTTGCAGCCAGGGGGAGGACGGGGCCTCCCCGAGTCTCTAATGAATATTAATGCGAGGACGAGGGTGAAAAAATTAATCTGCCTGATCCTCCGATGAGCGTGGCAGTAACGATATGAAATCTAATTATTCGTCCCAGTATTTCTAAACCCTCAAATAGACTGACAGCCGCCTGGTCGGTTTAACGCTTATCACTCTTGGGAGCGGCGTGTTCGCGCATGATAAAAACACTCGCGCGGCTCTGCTGACGCTGCAGAACCCCCCACTCTGCACACGGTCCAGGCGCAGGTGGTGGCGCCATGTCCCCCCAACACTGGCAAACAGGTGCCCTCGTGGTGGCTGCACTGCGTGGGCTGGGGGCACTGCCATCTGTGAGAGCTGGTGGGAGGAAGGGGCACCGTGGGACTAGTGGTCCCCCACTTCTACAGGGGGGCTGGAGACCGGGAGACCAACGTCTCTAGCCTCCCTGTCAGTCTGAAGGGCCACACATGCCTGCACATGGTCCCGAGGGTGTGAGGGCCTTCCCACTCCCTGGCTTCCAGGGGGAGCACCAACCTGCCCAGCTGCCTCTGAGACTGGGGGCAGTGCCCACAGGTGAGCCCCGAGCCAGCACCTCACCCTGTAGGAGGCAGCTGGACCCCGAGGTCGGCTGTATAGCCCACAGCCCACCTCTCTGCCCCCCTGGAAGCTAAGGATGTTGGTCAGTAGCAGATTCTCTTCTTCCCCTGTGGAGGGGCTGACACAGCGCCAGGCTGCCTGGTTATTTACTTTTTTTCCCTGCTTTTTTTCTTTCTCCCCAACTCTGAGTAGCCCTGGAACTGAAGCCCTTTTCTCAGGTGAAGGCGCAGGGGCCCCCTTCCTGGCCCTGCTCAGCCCATGGGCAACAGGCAAGCCTGGAAGTTGCTGTTTATAGCTTCCCCACCAGGCCCTTCCTCCAAAACTACCACGGATGTGTGTGCCGCCTCCCCTTCAGGGGCAGTGCCAGGCTTGGTGCCCCATCTGAGTCCAGCTGGCTCTGGACAGGCCATGTCTGGGGTCAGCAAGATGCCCCTCTCTCTGCCCTGCCTGCAGCCCCCCAGGGTGGTTTGTCTCTCCCTCCTGGCTCCAGGCCAGCCCCACCCAGGGCTGGGATAACGGGCAGCCACTTTAAATTCTCCGGGTGCATCTGAGAATGCTCCTTGTTTCCCCCAACAAAGAGGTCGGTGTCTGGATTCTGTGCCCGCTGATAACCATCAGAAACCCTATCTCCACCGCATCCGTTGTGACAACTTTATCTGAGGCTGTTCCCAAACCTCGCCATGCATCTCATGGGTCAGCACCGACGGATGGTGGGGGCCCTGTTCTGGGGTGGGAGTGGGGCGGCCCAGGGAGCTAGGCAGCCCTGCAGAAGGTCGGGGAGCTGCCTGGGCTCCCCCAGGTCACTGTGGGGCAGGTTCACAGGAGGTCAGGGCTTGGACTGTGGTAGGCCCGGCGTGGGCTCTGCCCGGGACCCCCAGTTCATCCTCACAGCTCAGTCTGTTCCCCTCACCGGAGGCAATGGCATTTCTGCCTTTGTTCCTTTCATCTCTCCCAGACCCTGTGAAGAACCTGTTTCACAGGAGAGACACTGAGTCTCACAGAGGTGAACAAGGGGCCAAAGGCGCGAGAAGCGGCTGTGCGCACGGGACCAGACCCAGGTCTGCGTGGCCTCCTCTGCCAGTGTGGCTTCTCCGTCCACCACCTGCTATCCATCCACCCACCCAGCATCCATCCCACACATTGACCACCCACCCACCCCTCCATCCCACACACCCATCCTGAGCATTTCTTCTGTATTTGACTGCAAGCTGGATCAGAGAGGGACCTGCTGGAGGTCACAGAGCAGACTGGTGCTGCTGGCACTGACTCTCGAACCCTGGCCAGGCTCTGTGCTGTCCGTCCTTCCTGGGGCTCCCGCCCCCAGTGTCCCGTGTGTGGGGATTGTGGGGGAAACCACCTGACTCCTGCCTGCAAGCACCCCCCAGCCAGTGGGAAGGGTCACCATCCCCCATGGCGCCCTTCCCGCCTCCCTCTCTAAACAGCAGAGACAAACTGCCTCGTGGCTGATAGGACGCACTGGGGCAGGAGGTGCTGGGGGAAAGAACTGGGACGCATCGGCTGAGCTCGATAAGGGGCCCGCTGAAATGTTAGTAAAAATATTTAGACAATAAATGAAGTATCAGAAAGGCGCACGTATCTTTAAGAAATCAATCATCTTGTACGGTGTGTCTGGACACTCGGCGCCTGCTGGGGAGATAAGGGTTAATCAGGGATCTAATTCTGCAGGAGATCAAACTGCGGGGAAGAGCAGGCGAGGCTCCTTCCTCCCTCCAAGGTCCTGGCCTCTCTGGCGCGCCTCGGACATTATCTCTGCCTGGAGAGGCTTTCTGACCGCACGCCAAGTCTCCCCAGGCTGACCTGCGCCCCAGGCCCAAGGAGGACAAAATCCTGGAGAGAAGTCTGCAGGCGGGTGGGGGGACGGTGGGTGGGCCAGGAGGGAAGGGCTGGGACCCTGGGGCTGGCAGTGTCCAGCCCCCAGCCTGTACCGAGGGAGTCTGCAGGGGCTCCAGGGGCGGGCAGACACCGTCCGATTCTCCCTCTGCTATCTGACCCTGCTGATGGCCAAGTCCCTCAAGTTCTTGGAGCATCGGCTTCCTCATCTGTAAAATGGGGACAAGTACCCTCAGAAGGTGGGGTCATGTGTAAGGACAGTCCAGCAGTGTGTGTGCATGAGTGGACAAGATGCACACGCCTGTCCATCTCGCCAGGGGCTGACTGTCCCCCGAAGGGGCAGCAGAGGAAGTGCAGGACCTGCTCAGAACACTGAGGCCCCTAACCCTCAGCCGTGGCTGTTGTCCAGTCAGTCTAGAGGCCAGTGTTATGGAGCTCCTGGCCCACCTGGCCCCCCTTCCAGCCCCCAGCTGCCCCCACCCAGCAGCCTGCCCTCTGAAGGGTCACTGCTGCCTGCACGCCTCCAGAAACGGCTGCAACCCCACCACCTCCATCCCGCAGTGGAGCCAGACCCACCCTGGAGCCACCCCCTGCCTGGGGCCACAGGACAGGAGGCTCATCCCCCCTCAAGGCTGCTGGCTATCGTGCCTGCCAGGCCACCCCCTGTGGCCTCAATCGGCAGCAGGCGGGATGCCCCGGCTTCCCCATCTCAGATGAGCACCCTCTCCTCTGTGGGGTCTACAAGGCTCAGGCCTCAAGCGCTCTCAGGGTTTCCCCTAAGGTGCCAAAGGCTGAAGAAACAGGCTCAGGGACTTTAGGAGCCTGCCTGGGAGCACACAGCAAAATGGCCACGAGACAGACCCCAGATCCACACCCTACTCCGTGGGGACAGCCCGGCCACGAAGGTGGGCTCCTGTGATCCTGACCAGCCGCCTGCCTGTGTAAGCACCCACCCCTCCAAGCCTGGCTGCTCAGCTGGCATACGTGGTGTGGGCAGCCCATAGACCCTGGGAGGTCTCCCAGCCTCGTGCAGTGCAGATGCAAGCCCAGGGAACCTGACTCGGCATGACCCACAGCACCAGTTTTACTGCACACAGGAGTGGGGGTGGGCTGTGAGCACTGGTCTGATGGCCTGAAGCTGGGGACTCTGCCTGTGGCTCCTGAGCATCCCCACGGATGCTGCTGCAGGCCAAGGTGCTGGGCCCTGGTTTCCACGTCTGAGAAATGGAGGCTCTGCCCTCCAGGCTGGTTAGAGTTGTCACGGTAGCATTTGGCCTCTGTGCAGGGGAAGCCTCATCCCTACGGGCCTGGCTCTGCTGCTGACTATACAGAGGCCTATCAGGCCCATGCCTGGGGCCTTGGGGCCAGGAGATCCAGCACCACAGGGCACCTGCCAGCCAGCGTGTACCCTGGATCAAGCTACCCCTGAATGCCACCTCAGGAGTCAGAAAAGACCATGATTGCACCAGCACATTTGGGGCGCCTAAGCCTGAGCTTTAGGGGACCAATCTCTTGTGCTGCCTGGTCTCCGAGGAGGCATTTTCTGAACACTGGTCATGCACAGGCCCTCCTGGTCCCCATCACACCACATGCTGCCCAGTCCACTACCCCATGCTTATTGTTTCCTATAGAACGATTTTCTTTCTTAACTGGAATGTATTTTTAAAGGAGCCTGCAGGAGGGTGCCAGGCTGACGTGCCATAAACAGAAGGCAGCTCGGCAGTAGCCCTGAGACGGAGGAGGGCCGTGGTGCTCACGTCCAGTGGGAGGATGCTGCCTTTGGGCAACATGTTCCAGGTGGGGCTCCTTAGTTACAAAGGGTGATGAGCAAGTGCAGGAGGGCCCTGACGGCACCCTCTCCCTGTCATCAGTACCCACAAGGACAGCAGTGAAACAACCTCTCACCGTCTGCTGCAGGCACACCCAAGTGCCCAGTATACCACCTCACCTGCCACTGGGGGTGCCAGTCCAGCCCCACCGATTGGCTCTTTGTTGCCCGCTCCCCTGGAATGCCCTTCTCTGCCACCTCTCCAACTTCTACTCATCCATTATGGGCTTACTTAAAGGACACCCCCACCAGGAAGCTCCCTGTGTTACCTGAGGACCCACAGGCCCCTCATCACCTCTTCCAGGAAGCCTTCCTGGCATTCCCAGGCAGGTAACTCTTCCCTGCCCTCCTCCAACACCTCAGGCCTGGCTTGGGGGCTGAAGGGGTCTGTGCCCTGGGCCACACGGTGCCCTGGATGCAGCTGGCAGGCGAGCTGGCAGGGGTCGAGGCTCCTTACCGTTTCCACCTGCCCGGGGGACGAGGCTCCACTCCGGATGCTCCCACGGAATGGGCCCCAGGACAGACCCTCGGCGAGGCTGCGTCGAGCCCGCACACGCCTCTGCCCGTCCTGCAGCTGCAGCTCCAACTCGTCTGCAAGGAGAGACATCGGAGGCATGAGGTCCGGCAGTGGGGGTCACCCGGCCCACCCCTGTGCGGGGCCACCCATCTGCGCAGCCCCCAGGGCTGTAGGGCAGAGAAGGGGCTGCCCCAGGGGGCCGCACAGTTAGTATGAGGGGAGCCGGCAGCTGGATTTGAGCAGGTGGAGGAGAGGCTGGGGGAACACACTAACATGCCAGGGCCATGTGCCTCTGGCAGCCCTGGTGGCAGTGGCAGGCCCGTCCATGCCCGGGTGCACAGATGGAGCCAGGTGACCTCTGGCAGAGACGGGCCAGCTGCTGCCCCTGCCCACCCCGAGGGACCTCTGCTCACTCTGTGGGCCTTGGCTCTTGTGGAGTCTCTAGCTGAGAGTGCAGGGTGCTTGAGGACTGCAGTTACCTGCCGCGGCTGGGGGCCCTCCCAGCTCTGCCACTGTGGCCTGGTGTGGCCCCTGGGGCAGGGCAGGGAGCGGCATCTGCTGCTGGACCCCCACAGGCACAGACAGGCCTCTGCTGTGAGCCCCTGGGACAGTCACCCCCACGGGGTCAGGACCTGGGGTGGCCGGGGCCTGCAGCGGGGCTCGGAGTTCAGGCTGATCTCACTGCACAATCCACATGACCTTCTGTCGTGGGTTGAGTGGTGGCCCCCAAAAGGTGCATCCACCCAGAACCTACAAATTGTCCTTCTTTGGAAAAGTGTCTTTATAGAAGTAATTACGTTGAGATCTCGAGATAAGACCATTTTGGGTTATCCAGTGAGCCTTAAATCCAATGACAAATACCCTTCTGAGACACACAGACAAAAAGATGTGGGGAAGATGGGAACAGACACCGCAGGGTAAAGCTGGGAAGCTGCACCTGGGCCCCCACAACTGGGAGAGGCTGGGGTACACTCCCCAGAGGCTGAGGAGCAGCGTGGCCCTGCCCCACCTGGATTTGGGACTTCTGGCTCCACAACCGAGAGCAGATTTCTGATGTTTTAAGGCATCAAGGTTGTGCAGATCTGTCAGGGCCGCCCTGAGAGACGCATGCCTGGAAGTGACCGCCCTCCCCAACACCCCCAAGCCTCGGCGTCCTCGCTGGACAAAGGGCCGGTGGTGGCCATGCCCCCAGAGGGCGGCCCCTCTCTAGGCCACATGGCCTGTGCCCAGGAAGGCTGGGCCACCTTGTGCCATGGGTGCCACCTAGGCTGCTTGGGCCTCACGTGTCCTGGCCCTTCCCGAGCAGGGCTGCTGTGGCGGCCCCACTTCCTGGAGCCCCAATCAGGCAGGCTGTGGCCTTAATGGGCCCGATTATCAGATAACTGCCAGCCTAATGGCACAGATAACGTGTAAGTACACCAGGAGGCTCAGCTAAAATGTTCTAACTGGGTCCTTGTCTTCCCCAGGGCAGATAAGATGGCAGGGGACCAGGCCAAGGCTGGGGTGGCCGGCGCCCCTTTATCAGCCCCACGGGGAGCAGGGTAGGGGCCCGCCCACGAGGGACCATAGCCCCCGCCAGCCCACCCAGGATGCCCGGGTCCGGCCCAGGGCCCTGTGCACGGGCTGCCTGCTTCCCTGGCCCAACAGGGCCCATCACCAGGGACAGAAGTTGGCCCAGCCAGCATAAAGCCACCCATTCCTGCTCAAAGGGCCCTATGGCACTGGCCATCTCCTTATGCCTCCTGTACAGCTGAGGGAGCCGAGGCCAAGCAGTAGGGACTGGGGCTCCAGGACCTGCGCCCAGGCCGCATGGCACTAGATGGCAGCCTGGGCTCCTAGCCCCTCGAGTCCTGGGTGTGCCTGGGTTTCTGATTCCCTGTGGGGCCGGACCTTGGGGTGGGCATGGGTGAGGGAGGAAGAGGCTGCCTGCAGGCAAGCTCACTGGGCGCTCGTTTGTGCATCTGTCTGTCCAGCCACCTGGCGGGTCTGGGCTCTGCCCCCGAGGCTGGCGGGAAGCCCACCGCAGGCTGAGCATGTGTGCTGCCCCATCTGCTCCCACTCAGGGCGGGCTCCAGGGGGAGGCGTCCAGAGTCCTGACGCATGGCCTGCACCCGCTGGACGAGCAGACACGCCCAAGCTGCACAGGCCGGTGCGCACGCAGGCCTGTGCACGGGATGCCCGGGCTGCTCTCTGGGCTTCAGCTCTCCTGTTGGGGCTGCAGATAAGCAGTGACAGTGGCCTGGACTCTCTGTTTTCACCTATTTTCCCGTCAGTGTCAAGAGCATTCATGAAGGAGCCCATTTCTGGCCTTGTTGGGTTCGAGGCTCCCCATTAAGAGATGATGCCCGCTGTCTGAGGCCAGCACCTGCCTTTCCATGGGAGGAACTTGGAACTCAGCGGTCTTCCTACGTGTGGGCTGCGTCCCACCCAGACTCAGGGGCACAGTGGCGCGGGGGGTGGGGACAGCCGGCCCGTGTCACCCTGGGAGCCAGAAGAGGGGCAGGGCCAGCGGGCCCCCCACCCAGCCCACGCGTGCACCTGCAGGCAAATGGCCGTACTGCCTAATCGGAGCCCCTGGGCTAGCAGGCCGAGCCTCCCAGATAACAGCATGGCTGGGGTTTCCCAGGGCAGCCACGCCGTCTTCTGGGTATCACGCACTGCCAGAGACAGGGCCGGCTCCTGATAAAGGCAGCCGTTCCGCATGTCCTGGGGCAGAGCCCACTGCTCAGGGCTTACTGGGGGCTGAGCAAGACCTGGGAAACTGGGGGAGTCCAGGGACCCGGCTGGGGGCCAGGCAATGGTCACCAGGACAACCAACCTCCCTGGCTGGGGGTGGGGCACCGTTTTTGAGGGGCTGTGCATTGGGAAAGGCACACCCTATGGGTGAATGCAAGGCCACAGCAGGTGCCTGGCTCAGTGAAGGGAATACGGCTGGACCTCAGCCCCGGCTCACCCAGCGCCCCTTTGCAGTGCACAACGTGTGCAACTGTCCACTGTGGCCCTGGTGACATTCAACATCCATCTGCTCAGATAACCAATTTCTAACAAACAGTTCCTGCCCAACCCCTTGCATGGCTGAAACAGGGTCAGCAGTATTAACAAAGCCCAGTTTGAACCTAGCAGAGACCCTCTCCCAACCAGGAATGAAATCACATCAGCAAAGTGGGAGTAGGTGGACCACCTACTCCTGGCAGACTGGATACCTCACGAGGGCTCAGTTAAAGGCTGAGAACAAATGAAGGCATAAATGAAGGAGGGCATGGGGCTAAAGGATAAGAGATGCCAGGCTGGGGGTGGAGCTGGCAGGGAGAGTTACAGGCAGGAAGACAGAGCTATTTTTAAACAGCCTCTATTAGGCCAGAGGACACTCAGCTCCCAAGCACACCGGCAGGAAACCTGTGCCCCAAGCCACAACCTGAGCTTGGGCTGCAGGTGGGATGGGAGCCCAGGTCTCTGGGCATGTGGCTCAGCACTCACTGGGTCACAGACCCTGTGCGGGCACCTGGGGTGGGGGGCACAGACTCTGCCTTTGGGGGTCCCAGGAAAGATGGGCAGTGGCAGCAATGATGGTGGGCCAGTCACAGTAGGCTTCCAGGTGGAGGTGTCCTCCTCTGTGGCAGCCTCCTGCAACTGGTGTGTCCAGAGCAGCTTAGGCGATGGGCACAGAGAGATGTCAGCTCCAGCCAGGTCCTCCTGGTCCTGTCGGCCTTGGCCTCTGTCCCCTCTGTTGGGGGGGCAATGCCATCTGCCCCAAGGACTCACGATGCTAACAAAGTTCGTGGCCCCACTTAATAAGCCTTAGCCAAGTGCCTACCACAGTGTGCAGGGATTCCTCCCTGCCACGCTTAAAGGAGCTCTCCCAGTGTACAGAGACGGAGGTGGGTCTGGACCAGAGCCCCAGCCGAGCTCTAGCTGGGGCCTCCTAAGGCAGGGGGCTGGCCGCAGAGAGGAGTGGAGGGGCATGTCGCTGGGTAGGTGGGTGGCGGGCCCCTCCCGGCCCTTCTGAGCCCTGGCTGACCTCCTGCTCTGTCCTTGGTCTCCCCATCTGCGCCCGATCTCCTCTGGGGGAGGGGCAGGCCCTGTGCTGCCTGGGTAGACCCCCAGGCGGTCGGACCATCACCAAAGGCCAGCGTCAGGACAAAGACCAAATCATTCCAGCAACCCCCTTGACCCCCCCGCACATGTTATTTCCAGAACAAACATGCCGAGCCAGGATTCAATTTCGCACCCCAAGCACCTGCGAGGAACCAGATGAGAAAATTCAGCCTTTGCATATTTATATGGTTTAAATGTCTATTTAGGTCTCAAAACCCTCAAATACCTGCTCAGAACACTGAGGCCCCTAACCCTCAGCCGTGGCTGTTGTCCAGTCAGTCTAGAGGCCAGTGTTATGGAGCTCCTGGCCCACCTGGCCCCCCTTCCAGCCCCCAGCTGCCCCCACCCAGCAGCCTGCCCTCTGAAGGGTCACTGCTGCCTGCACGCCTCCAGAAACGGCTGCAACCCCACCACCTCCATCCCGCAGTGGAGCCAGACCCACCCTGGAGCCACCCCCTGCCTGGGGCCACAGGACAGGAGGCTCATCCCCCCTCAAGGCTGCTGGCTATCGTGCCTGCCAGGCCACCCCCTGTGGCCTCAATCGGCAGCAGGCGGGATGCCCCGGCTTCCCCATCTCAGATGAGCACCCTCTCCTCTGTGGGGTCTACAAGGCTCAGGCCTCAAGCGCTCTCAGGGTTTCCCCTAAGGTGCCAAAGGCTGAAGAAACAGGCTCAGGGACTTTAGGAGCCTGCCTGGGAGCACACAGCAAAATGGCCACGAGACAGACCCCAGATCCACACCCTACTCCGTGGGGACAGCCCGGCCACGAAGGTGGGCTCCTGTGATCCTGACCAGCCGCCTGCCTGTGTAAGCACCCACCCCTCCAAGCCTGGCTGCTCAGCTGGCATACGTGGTGTGGGCAGCCCATAGACCCTGGGAGGTCTCCCAGCCTCGTGCAGTGCAGATGCAAGCCCAGGGAACCTGACTCGGCATGACCCACAGCACCAGTTTTACTGCACACAGGAGTGGGGGTGGGCTGTGAGCACTGGTCTGATGGCCTGAAGCTGGGGACTCTGCCTGTGGCTCCTGAGCATCCCCACGGATGCTGCTGCAGGCCAAGGTGCTGGGCCCTGGTTTCCACGTCTGAGAAATGGAGGCTCTGCCCTCCAGGCTGGTTAGAGTTGTCACGGTAGCATTTGGCCTCTGTGCAGGGGAAGCCTCATCCCTACGGGCCTGGCTCTGCTGCTGACTATACAGAGGCCTATCAGGCCCATGCCTGGGGCCTTGGGGCCAGGAGATCCAGCACCACAGGGCACCTGCCAGCCAGCGTGTACCCTGGATCAAGCTACCCCTGAATGCCACCTCAGGAGTCAGAAAAGACCATGATTGCACCAGCACATTTGGGGCGCCTAAGCCTGAGCTTTAGGGGACCAATCTCTTGTGCTGCCTGGTCTCCGAGGAGGCATTTTCTGAACACTGGTCATGCACAGGCCCTCCTGGTCCCCATCACACCACATGCTGCCCAGTCCACTACCCCATGCTTATTGTTTCCTATAGAACGATTTTCTTTCTTAACTGGAATGTATTTTTAAAGGAGCCTGCAGGAGGGTGCCAGGCTGACGTGCCATAAACAGAAGGCAGCTCGGCAGTAGCCCTGAGACGGAGGAGGGCCGTGGTGCTCACGTCCAGTGGGAGGATGCTGCCTTTGGGCAACATGTTCCAGGTGGGGCTCCTTAGTTACAAAGGGTGATGAGCAAGTGCAGGAGGGCCCTGACGGCACCCTCTCCCTGTCATCAGTACCCACAAGGACAGCAGTGAAACAACCTCTCACCGTCTGCTGCAGGCACACCCAAGTGCCCAGTATACCACCTCACCTGCCACTGGGGGTGCCAGTCCAGCCCCACCGATTGGCTCTTTGTTGCCCGCTCCCCTGGAATGCCCTTCTCTGCCACCTCTCCAACTTCTACTCATCCATTATGGGCTTACTTAAAGGACACCCCCACCAGGAAGCTCCCTGTGTTACCTGAGGACCCACAGGCCCCTCATCACCTCTTCCAGGAAGCCTTCCTGGCATTCCCAGGCAGGTAACTCTTCCCTGCCCTCCTCCAACACCTCAGGCCTGGCTTGGGGGCTGAAGGGGTCTGTGCCCTGGGCCACACGGTGCCCTGGATGCAGCTGGCAGGCGAGCTGGCAGGGGTCGAGGCTCCTTACCGTTTCCACCTGCCCGGGGGACGAGGCTCCACTCCGGATGCTCCCACGGAATGGGCCCCAGGACAGACCCTCGGCGAGGCTGCGTCGAGCCCGCACACGCCTCTGCCCGTCCTGCAGCTGCAGCTCCAACTCGTCTGCAAGGAGAGACATCGGAGGCATGAGGTCCGGCAGTGGGGGTCACCCGGCCCACCCCTGTGCGGGGCCACCCATCTGCGCAGCCCCCAGGGCTGTAGGGCAGAGAAGGGGCTGCCCCAGGGGGCCGCACAGTTAGTATGAGGGGAGCCGGCAGCTGGATTTGAGCAGGTGGAGGAGAGGCTGGGGGAACACACTAACATGCCAGGGCCATGTGCCTCTGGCAGCCCTGGTGGCAGTGGCAGGCCCGTCCATGCCCGGGTGCACAGATGGAGCCAGGTGACCTCTGGCAGAGACGGGCCAGCTGCTGCCCCTGCCCACCCCGAGGGACCTCTGCTCACTCTGTGGGCCTTGGCTCTTGTGGAGTCTCTAGCTGAGAGTGCAGGGTGCTTGAGGACTGCAGTTACCTGCCGCGGCTGGGGGCCCTCCCAGCTCTGCCACTGTGGCCTGGTGTGGCCCCTGGGGCAGGGCAGGGAGCGGCATCTGCTGCTGGACCCCCACAGGCACAGACAGGCCTCTGCTGTGAGCCCCTGGGACAGTCACCCCCACGGGGTCAGGACCTGGGGTGGCCGGGGCCTGCAGCGGGGCTCGGAGTTCAGGCTGATCTCACTGCACAATCCACATGACCTTCTGTCGTGGGTTGAGTGGTGGCCCCCAAAAGGTGCATCCACCCAGAACCTACAAATTGTCCTTCTTTGGAAAAGTGTCTTTATAGAAGTAATTACGTTGAGATCTCGAGATAAGACCATTTTGGGTTATCCAGTGAGCCTTAAATCCAATGACAAATACCCTTCTGAGACACACAGACAAAAAGATGTGGGGAAGATGGGAACAGACACCGCAGGGTAAAGCTGGGAAGCTGCACCTGGGCCCCCACAACTGGGAGAGGCTGGGGTACACTCCCCAGAGGCTGAGGAGCAGCGTGGCCCTGCCCCACCTGGATTTGGGACTTCTGGCTCCACAACCGAGAGCAGATTTCTGATGTTTTAAGGCATCAAGGTTGTGCAGATCTGTCAGGGCCGCCCTGAGAGACGCATGCCTGGAAGTGACCGCCCTCCCCAACACCCCCAAGCCTCGGCGTCCTCGCTGGACAAAGGGCCGGTGGTGGCCATGCCCCCAGAGGGCGGCCCCTCTCTAGGCCACATGGCCTGTGCCCAGGAAGGCTGGGCCACCTTGTGCCATGGGTGCCACCTAGGCTGCTTGGGCCTCACGTGTCCTGGCCCTTCCCGAGCAGGGCTGCTGTGGCGGCCCCACTTCCTGGAGCCCCAATCAGGCAGGCTGTGGCCTTAATGGGCCCGATTATCAGATAACTGCCAGCCTAATGGCACAGATAACGTGTAAGTACACCAGGAGGCTCAGCTAAAATGTTCTAACTGGGTCCTTGTCTTCCCCAGGGCAGATAAGATGGCAGGGGACCAGGCCAAGGCTGGGGTGGCCGGCGCCCCTTTATCAGCCCCACGGGGAGCAGGGTAGGGGCCCGCCCACGAGGGACCATAGCCCCCGCCAGCCCACCCAGGATGCCCGGGTCCGGCCCAGGGCCCTGTGCACGGGCTGCCTGCTTCCCTGGCCCAACAGGGCCCATCACCAGGGACAGAAGTTGGCCCAGCCAGCATAAAGCCACCCATTCCTGCTCAAAGGGCCCTATGGCACTGGCCATCTCCTTATGCCTCCTGTACAGCTGAGGGAGCCGAGGCCAAGCAGTAGGGACTGGGGCTCCAGGACCTGCGCCCAGGCCGCATGGCACTAGATGGCAGCCTGGGCTCCTAGCCCCTCGAGTCCTGGGTGTGCCTGGGTTTCTGATTCCCTGTGGGGCCGGACCTTGGGGTGGGCATGGGTGAGGGAGGAAGAGGCTGCCTGCAGGCAAGCTCACTGGGCGCTCGTTTGTGCATCTGTCTGTCCAGCCACCTGGCGGGTCTGGGCTCTGCCCCCGAGGCTGGCGGGAAGCCCACCGCAGGCTGAGCATGTGTGCTGCCCCATCTGCTCCCACTCAGGGCGGGCTCCAGGGGGAGGCGTCCAGAGTCCTGACGCATGGCCTGCACCCGCTGGACGAGCAGACACGCCCAAGCTGCACAGGCCGGTGCGCACGCAGGCCTGTGCACGGGATGCCCGGGCTGCTCTCTGGGCTTCAGCTCTCCTGTTGGGGCTGCAGATAAGCAGTGACAGTGGCCTGGACTCTCTGTTTTCACCTATTTTCCCGTCAGTGTCAAGAGCATTCATGAAGGAGCCCATTTCTGGCCTTGTTGGGTTCGAGGCTCCCCATTAAGAGATGATGCCCGCTGTCTGAGGCCAGCACCTGCCTTTCCATGGGAGGAACTTGGAACTCAGCGGTCTTCCTACGTGTGGGCTGCGTCCCACCCAGACTCAGGGGCACAGTGGCGCGGGGGGTGGGGACAGCCGGCCCGTGTCACCCTGGGAGCCAGAAGAGGGGCAGGGCCAGCGGGCCCCCCACCCAGCCCACGCGTGCACCTGCAGGCAAATGGCCGTACTGCCTAATCGGAGCCCCTGGGCTAGCAGGCCGAGCCTCCCAGATAACAGCATGGCTGGGGTTTCCCAGGGCAGCCACGCCGTCTTCTGGGTATCACGCACTGCCAGAGACAGGGCCGGCTCCTGATAAAGGCAGCCGTTCCGCATGTCCTGGGGCAGAGCCCACTGCTCAGGGCTTACTGGGGGCTGAGCAAGACCTGGGAAACTGGGGGAGTCCAGGGACCCGGCTGGGGGCCAGGCAATGGTCACCAGGACAACCAACCTCCCTGGCTGGGGGTGGGGCACCGTTTTTGAGGGGCTGTGCATTGGGAAAGGCACACCCTATGGGTGAATGCAAGGCCACAGCAGGTGCCTGGCTCAGTGAAGGGAATACGGCTGGACCTCAGCCCCGGCTCACCCAGCGCCCCTTTGCAGTGCACAACGTGTGCAACTGTCCACTGTGGCCCTGGTGACATTCAACATCCATCTGCTCAGATAACCAATTTCTAACAAACAGTTCCTGCCCAACCCCTTGCATGGCTGAAACAGGGTCAGCAGTATTAACAAAGCCCAGTTTGAACCTAGCAGAGACCCTCTCCCAACCAGGAATGAAATCACATCAGCAAAGTGGGAGTAGGTGGACCACCTACTCCTGGCAGACTGGATACCTCACGAGGGCTCAGTTAAAGGCTGAGAACAAATGAAGGCATAAATGAAGGAGGGCATGGGGCTAAAGGATAAGAGATGCCAGGCTGGGGGTGGAGCTGGCAGGGAGAGTTACAGGCAGGAAGACAGAGCTATTTTTAAACAGCCTCTATTAGGCCAGAGGACACTCAGCTCCCAAGCACACCGGCAGGAAACCTGTGCCCCAAGCCACAACCTGAGCTTGGGCTGCAGGTGGGATGGGAGCCCAGGTCTCTGGGCATGTGGCTCAGCACTCACTGGGTCACAGACCCTGTGCGGGCACCTGGGGTGGGGGGCACAGACTCTGCCTTTGGGGGTCCCAGGAAAGATGGGCAGTGGCAGCAATGATGGTGGGCCAGTCACAGTAGGCTTCCAGGTGGAGGTGTCCTCCTCTGTGGCAGCCTCCTGCAACTGGTGTGTCCAGAGCAGCTTAGGCGATGGGCACAGAGAGATGTCAGCTCCAGCCAGGTCCTCCTGGTCCTGTCGGCCTTGGCCTCTGTCCCCTCTGTTGGGGGGGCAATGCCATCTGCCCCAAGGACTCACGATGCTAACAAAGTTCGTGGCCCCACTTAATAAGCCTTAGCCAAGTGCCTACCACAGTGTGCAGGGATTCCTCCCTGCCACGCTTAAAGGAGCTCTCCCAGTGTACAGAGACGGAGGTGGGTCTGGACCAGAGCCCCAGCCGAGCTCTAGCTGGGGCCTCCTAAGGCAGGGGGCTGGCCGCAGAGAGGAGTGGAGGGGCATGTCGCTGGGTAGGTGGGTGGCGGGCCCCTCCCGGCCCTTCTGAGCCCTGGCTGACCTCCTGCTCTGTCCTTGGTCTCCCCATCTGCGCCCGATCTCCTCTGGGGGAGGGGCAGGCCCTGTGCTGCCTGGGTAGACCCCCAGGCGGTCGGACCATCACCAAAGGCCAGCGTCAGGACAAAGACCAAATCATTCCAGCAACCCCCTTGACCCCCCCGCACATGTTATTTCCAGAACAAACATGCCGAGCCAGGATTCAATTTCGCACCCCAAGCACCTGCGAGGAACCAGATGAGAAAATTCAGCCTTTGCATATTTATATGGTTTAAATGTCTATTTAGGTCTCAAAACCCTCAAATGGCATCCTGAGGGGACAGGAAGGAGGCAGGACTGCGTTGCTACCCCAGGCCAGGCTCAGGACCCATGCTGGGGAGCCAGGTGGAGCAGGTGGCTTGGAATCAACAGGCTGCGCCTCAGTCTACCTGCTGGGCTGGCAGCAGGGAGGGTAAAGGCAGTGTGTCAGTCAGCGGGGCCACTGCCCTCCGGCCCCCGGCGTCCTGGGGAGACCTGTCCCAGCTCTGCCCCACACCTTGCAGCCCCCAGTGGCCTCCAGTGAGGAGGTTCCAGTTCTCCCTCCCTATCCCACAGCAGTGGCTCAGAGAGCTGAGCAACTTGCTCAAGGTCACACAGCAGGGGCTGCTGTCCCCCAGCCCAGCCCAGCCCCTTTCTGATGGAAGATCCAGGCTGCAGCCATCCGGCCCAGCTCACCAGAGCCCCGAGGGCCCCGGGCTCCTTCCCTGAGTGATGGCCAGCCCTGCGGTTGGCAGGAGCGGCAGTGAGCTGGGGGCAGGCTCCTCCTCCCAGGGACAGGCTCTGTTTGTGCTCATGGCCGGTGGCCTCCAGAGCACAAAGTCCAGGCGCCCCACAAGCCCCGCCCTGATGGTGGGCCCCGGGGTCAGCATGTGGGCGCCCACCCTGGGGTCGCTGCCAGCACCCTTCTATCTAATCAGTCCATCGCTCCGCCCGGCCCCGCCCTGTGGCTCCCGTGGACCAGCTGGCCTCGGCTTGTCAGGGCAGCCCTATCTCCGGGATCATGCTGTTTGTCTTTGATAAA